TTAATTTAAGTTCTGTCACAATTTGATTCTAGATTTACCTTTAAACAACGAGCAGTAGTAGAATAAATAATAAATAACATAAAATAAGCTCAGTAAAGAGTGGCAAATCCACAAAATTTCAAATTATTTTTTTTTAATCAAACAGAACTGTCACGGGTCCCCACCCTAAGGCCCTTTGTGCGTCTACCATGCATGAATACATGGATAGCATTATACAGGGTGGCGCCTCTCATACGCCGCGGAGGCTCCAAGGAGAACGACAGTTTGTATTGAAATGAAATTTTGTAAGCGTATGTAGGTTAATTCAGAGCAGTTTTTAAAAATATAGAGAGTTCTACAGGGTGTCCTCCCAAAAAATTACATATCAAAGTTGTGTTTTTTGTAATGGAACACTCTATATATAAATTGATTTTCGGATTCTGGGAGAAAAATAAAGCTGAGTTTTATAAGAGAAGTATATGACCAAAATGTAAGGTTTTTGACATATTTAACATTTTCTAGAAATAAAGAACAATTTTTAAATTACAATAAAAGCTACCTAAATTGGAATTTACCCGGTATAACCTGTATATGTAGTTAAATTAACTATTGTACTTTAAATCAAATTAAAACTTGATCCAAAAAGTTATACAGGGTGAAACAAAATTAATATTGAACATTGGTCACCTTTAAAAGCATGTTACTCTCTTATTTTAAATGGAACACCCAGTATATTATTCCGATATTTAATGGAGAATTCATGTCTCTTCAAAATACTATTAAGGTTGCCTACCCCTCAAACAAAGATTTTCCTAGATATTTTTATTTACATGATTTGATCTGAGTAGATCTTTATTATTTGATAAAATCTAGGTGGCTGTGATATGTCTGACGTTACTTCAACATAGCTGTCTAACTAGTCCAACTTTAACAACTAGTTATAATTTTTTGTCAGTTAAAACAAAAAAAATTCTCAGGAATTTGCCGAAAATGCAAACTTATCCTACATCAGAGAAAATTGATATGATTCTATTAGTTGAATGCAGTGTGCATTCACCAATTAATAGAATACTTAAATGCTCCTGATTTTATCTACTTTGGTTTTTTTTATGCGGATATGTTAAAGACGAAGAGAGAGATGTTGAAGAGTGTTTAAAAAACTCGTGTCGACAACATGAGATAAATTATTGTATACTCTGTTCTTTTTCTCAGGTAAGGTTTCGACAGACGATAACAGAAGAAAAGCAGATGACGTCCCATACCAATCTATTTATTTTACTAAAAAAAGTTTCTAATAATTTTTAAGTTAACTATGGATGGGTTTAAATATAAATCCGTCACACGTCGTCTCTTGTTGTTTTTAACCGGTTTTATTGGTTTATTTCAAAAATGACAGATCGTATTTCAATTTTATTGCTTTGCCGGAACGATGAACGATAAACGGACGCCGATGCGTATGAACTCGCCTTTAGATTTTTGACGCTTGTCAAAGTCTTGCCAAATTAGAGGTTATAATTTTGTGTCAACTTTTGTTAGTTTTGTCAAATACCCTGCGTTTTGGAAGATGATGCATTTTGATTCGTGTTATTACGTGTGTTTTGTGTCTTTTGAAGTCAAGTGGAGGAAAAATCGAGTGAAAATTAACTGTAGACCCAGAGCACAGTTTTTGGTTAATACTCGCTGCCCAGGCAAAAAGTCTTATACAACAATAAAGTTACCATCTATAAAGTTCGTATATCATCTCGTCGTAGATAAGTGCATCTCGAATATGGTAGAAGGACCATACTAAACGCATACTAAAAACTGGAGTAGGTGTAAAATATCGACATCACACGATAGGTAAATAATAGATTTTAGTACTGCACAAGAAAAATAATGCCAAAGGTACTGGTTTAGTTTGGTTTTAATAAAATAGTTTGTTTTATTTATGTTGTTTTCTTTATTCCTGTGGAATATTACAAATTTGTATTTGTACATAAGTTATATTGATAAATATAATCATAAATGCGGGAAGTTTCATAAAGCTTGAACGAAAATAAGAAATAGTTTGTATGTAGTTTTGTTTTACGGCCACAGCTCCAGGACTATCCGGCATAAGAAATAGTTCTTTTTTATATTTTTTTGGTATGTAGTGTCTTGTTCTTGTTTGTTTTGTATTAACACATACCGTTTTTTATTAAATTAAATAACTCGATTACTTTTTTTCAGTTTTATAGTTTTTTTCACAATATTTTGAAGTAATCACTTGTCAGTCAAATTTTAAATATAATAATTTCCTGCTATGCGTTCTAGTTGTACCAACTTATTTCTTTGTAAAATAAAATAAACTACTTTGAAATTAAAATGACAGACACATCTGTCACTGTCAAGGATCTTCTCGTTGGACAGACTATAGCTGCTTTTCGAGGGAGAACTCCACATATTATGCCTTTTAAAATGAAAATATACTTTTGAGAAGACAATGATTTTATGCAGTTCACAGGAAAGGAAGCATTTTGAGCATTTGATTTCATCTAGCTAATTTTTGTCGCATAATTATAGGTTTATATTTAGTTTTATTTCTGTAATAATTAAAATATGTTTTAAACGTATATTTTTTATTGCCCTTGAGTATTTTACTCCACAATCTTTAATTTTTGTTAAATTAACAAAAGGTATATCACACAGCCACCTAGATTTTTTCAAATAATAAAGATTTACTGACGCAAAATCATAAAAATTAAAATATCTAGGGAAATCTTTGTCTGGGGGGTAGGCAACCTTAATAATATTTTAAAGATATATAAATTCTCCATTGAACACCGGAATAATATACTGGGTGTTCCATTTAAAATAAAGGAGTAACTTGCTTTTAAAAGTGACTAATGTTCCATATTAATTTTGTCTCACCCTGTATAACTTTTTGGGTCAAATATCAATTTGGTTTAACATACAATGGTTACTGTAATTAAATATCAGGCTATACAAGGTCAACTAAAATTTAGGTAGCTGTTATCGAAATTTAAAATTTACTCTTCATTTTGACAGAATGTGAAATATGTCAAAAACCTTAGATTTTAGGTATATGCTTCTTTAATAAAACTCACCTTTATTTTTTTCTAGAATCTGAAAATCAATAATTAATATATAGGGTGTTCCATTAGAAAAAACACAACTTTGATGTGTAACTTTTTTTGGAGACACCCTGTATAATTCTATATATTTTCAAAAAATGCTTTCAGTTAACCTACTTATGCTGCCAAAATTTCATTTCAATATAAACTACCGTTCTCCTTGGAGCTTCCGCGGCGTATGAGAGGCGCCACCCTGTACTCCTAATAATCTGTTTATTCAAAGGTTTTAATCCTTTGATAGATTTTTCTTGATAGAAATTTGATTAACGTCATATTTTTTGCTGTTTTAAAATGTTAAAGAAGCTCAAAATTTATTTAGTTTAATGCTATGGAAATAGTGATACGTTGTCGGAAAATATTATACTTCACAAGAGCAAAAAATATGACGTTAATCAAAATTAATAATAACTCTTTGCGTGTTTAAGCAACGGCCTAGCTACGTTGAAACACCGGTTCCCATTAGAACAGCGAAGTTAAGGCTACGTAAGGCGATACTGGTGGATGGACGGGTGACCGGTTCGAAACTCTGTTTCGTGCTGTTGTTCAAGGGAAAAGTGTAAAATCTATTGATACACACTGCTCATTCACGCCGGTTCGAGACCGGATGAGATCGGATATCTCGTGAGTAAGAGTAGATTTAGACACTTCCTAAGTCGTGGCCATTGACCATGATATGGTCAATTCCGTATGATTCGGATTCCGCGTAAACAAAGTAGGCCCTGTCCAGATTAGCCCTGGCAGCAAAAAGGAGACGTTAACTGAAATCTTTACTTTACTTTTTGCTTGTTTAAAGGTAGTAAATCTAGAAGGAAATTGTGGCTTAAATTAACAGTGTCACTATTGCAATTTATCGAAAAAGACTGTAAAATAGTTGGTTGTGTAGCGTGCGGTAGATCTCGGTCAAAAATCGAGGAAAATAATGGAATAACTTTTTGCTAGTAAGTCGCTGTATAATATACATACGTGTGGTAAACCGATCATTTATAAAATTTACTTAAAATTAACTAATTACATATTTTTTCTTGTATTTGCTACTTGTCAAAGATTAGATGTCAAAGAATTTAGATACGTCAATTAACCAACTGCTTCAGTAGCGTATCGGATATTTGTGTTACTAAATAATTATTATAACTTATGTATTTTTATTAGAATAATTATATATTTTTATGACAATTTAAAAATTACCAACATTTATTGACAGCGTAAAATAAAACAATTATTGAGTCTACCCTACATCATATTTTTACACGTTTTGAATAAAATTAGAACGGCACTGATAAACCGGAATTTAAGTCCGCCATTCTAGGACTCCGACGCGTTTAATATTAAGATTTTGATATGCTCCTTCCTTAATATTTTTATTCAAAGTAATAACCATATCTATCAAAGATTGAATTCGAAATTATATTACGGCCTTTAGATTTCTAAGACTTTAGAAAAAAAATTCAACCATATTTTCAAGTTTTGTTTTAATTTTCTCTAAAACGGTAAAGAAACTTGGAAAAGCATAAAGGGGATTAACCATTTTAGATGGAGAAATGTTTTTTATGAAAAATGTATTCTTCTCAAAATGTCAATATTAAAAAAGTGTTTTCTCTTCTAAAAAAAATCCGGGGACATACTGTATACATCTAAAAATTAATCAAGCATATTTTTCGAATTTGAATCGCGAATTTTCATCTTGAGTTTCCAACCTAACAAACCAACTCAATTTTTCTTTTATTAAAAATAATATTTGAACTACATATAAACTGCTAGCGAATTTACAATTTTGACAGGCGTCACCAAATAAACAATTTACTATTGAACTAAATTGACAGTTCACAATTTGTCACTGTCATATTTTCTTGTTTAGGTTTTTGACAGGCTATATGGACCATCTAATGCATAAATTCAATATTTTCTCAGATATCTAAATTAAAAGTGGAGCTTCTATGTTTGAAATCTGACTTGGATACTGCTGTATCAGATAGCGATTTCCAAAAAGCAGCGATGTTAAAAGACAAGATCACCGAGCTCAATAAAAAATTGGAGTCGCTAAATTCGGAGAACAGCACTGATGTGATCAGATCGAACGAGCCTAGAACAGATCAGAAAACTGTAACTTGGTGTTTGGACCTTTTGGTATGTTTGTTGGGTCAAGGAAGTTTTACAAACTTGCCACCGCCATTAATTACGCTAAGGTAAGTAGAAAAGTTTAAAAATTACAAGATAAATTAGTAGTCCATTTGTACCATATCATATTTAATAAAAGGAATATAATAATTTTTAATTATTGTATAGTTTTTCCTAAGGTAAAATGTTTCAAGGAGCGATTCATCAGATCTTTTCATTTATTTAAGTTTAAATTTCCACCTATACCTATACAGGGTTATTCACCTCATTCCGACACCTGGTACTGTAGTAAAATGATTAGATTTTTAGAAATTGTGGAAATTGTTGGAGTGAATAACCCTGTAAACCGCGCTGGCTATAGGGTCTGTTAGCGGTTTGAAAAACGCCCGGTATGAGGCGTGCTGATAAGTTACAAGGTGGTCCCAGCGTGATATGCGGGCTGTAGATAGGCAAAAATATTTTTAGAATGTGCGTCGCTATTGTCCGTATATTTTATAAAAAAAGACTGGAGTTTAAATCTCAAACCAGAAACTTAATATATACAGGGTGGTCCGAACTGTATTCCGGAAACTTTGTTAGCATATTCTGCAGATAAAAATAGGTAAAAAGTTCTTATAAATGTATGTCCTAAAATGCTTAGTTTCGGAGATGCAGGGTGTAGAATTTCATTTTTATTTCGATTTTTTCCAAATAATTTCTGAAGTAACGTCAATATTTAGATGAAAATTGGTGTCTGGGAGTTTGACATGGGAAAGTTGATTTTGATGTCTATATGACTCCTACTGGTAGAGGGCGCCACCTACATGTGTTTTAACTGTTTTGAAGCGTAATAACTTTTTGTCCGTACCTGTATAAAACTACCGAGGGACAAAAAATAGTGTTTTTTTTACGTAAAAAATATCTCTTTGTAAAAATCGCTACGAGCAACCGTTCTCAAGATATTTAGAATGGAAATAGTCAATACATGCCATTATTAACGAAAAAAAAAACACGTTGAGTAGATAGTTATTTCAATGAAATAATAAATTTGGGAAATTTTTATTTTTTCAAATTAATCATATTTCTTCTGCAAAAAAAAATGATGATAAAACAGTTTTTGTTGAACTTTTGGTACAAAAACATTTCAAATTTATGATCTCAGTCTAATAACTATTTAGTCAACATGATTAATTTATGTCAGTGATGACAGGTATTGATAATTTCGATTCCAAATATCTCGAAAACCATTACTCGTAGCGATTTTTACCAAGAGACCTTTTTTACGTAAAAAGCGGCGTAATGTATATTTTTTACTCAGTAGTTTTATACAGGTATGGACGAAAAGTTATTACTCTTAAAACCAGTTAAAAAATATGTAGGTGGCGCTATCTACTAGTAGGAGTCATATTGACATCAAAATCAAATTTATCATGTCAAAAAACTCCCAGACACCAATTTGAATGCAAATATTGACGTTACTGCAGAAATTATTTGGAAAAATTCGAAATAAAAATGAAACTTCTACACCCTGTATCTTCAAAACTAAGCATTTTAGGACATACATTTATACGAACTTTTTTACTGATTTTTATCTGGAGAATATGCTGCCGAAGTTTCTGGATTACAGTTCGGACCACCCTGTATAGCTTTTTCGTAACTCTGGCTCACTCTGTATACTATTTCTAAGCATTTCTAGAAAAGACAGTGTTTTGTTTACTTCAGTTAATTTAATTTTTTTCCAGGGAGGACTTTGTGAAGCCATTGATTGCCCACACCGACCTAGAAATTCAATGGCGAGCGTTTAGGTGCCTCGCATCGTTTTGTATATTTGACGAGGATCTGACCAAAGAACACATCAAATCAATTCTAGCACCGGTAAGTCTTAGGAAACATTCTATAAAGACAAGGCTTTATTTTTTCTTCTGTTTTCAGATTATTTCCTATCAGGTAACGCCCAATTACATTAAAGAGAACGTAGTGTCCTCTATACAGGCTATTTCGGACTTGTTACGAACGTACGGACCGAAAATATTTGATTTTGACGTGGAGCAATCGAATAGTACCAGACGTCGGTTGTACGACCAAGAATCTGAGGACGTTCAAGATGCCACCAACCAGATATCCCTGGACATCCTGCTCAATTTTATTCTGGATATGCTTGACGACGAGGTAACTTTTTAATCGCAATTAGTGCGAATGTATTAGCCGTAGCAGCTGCGGAAAAAAATATTTATAACTAAAAAGGCTATGGGAAATTGCTGGAAAGTATTTTCTAGTTTGTAGAACGACCGCTAGGGGGCGCATCTGCAACAAAAAAATTAGAAAATGGAGTTTTTACACAATTTCGCCTAGATAAGGTGTACTATAAGTAACAGCTTCATAATCTTCAGTAAATTTTGAATATTTTTTGTTAGAGCCATTTTCCCCTATCTACCAAAATAAAGTGGTGGGGGAAGGTTAGATCTGTTTTTATTTGAATATTAATAACTCTGGACTGGATGATCGGAATCCAACGAGCGAGGGCTCGTTTAAAAGAGCGTTTCTTACTCTATATTGTACCATATAAACAATAATAATAAGCTTTTGAACGTAGACGCTAGGGGGCATTGTCTTACAATTTAACGAACATTGCGCGTTTTTTCAAAAAAATTAAATGCAATAGTATATGTAATTTTAGCTGATAGCAAAGAGTAGTAAAAGCTTAAAAAGTCAGCGAAAACCGCATCCTGATATCTTCTTTCAAACCGAAGATATTAGCAAAATTATAATAAATACAAAAAAATAAGCGCTTAATTACCTTATTTTTACAACACGTAGCCCTGTTGATTATGCCCATTCTAACCTAAAAATAAGATAAAAATAGTTATTTTATTTTAAAATCGACAATATACCAGAATATCATAATATCAGATGTATTAATATCTAATAATTAAGATATTAATAATAGTGAACAAGAAACGATGATTCAGTGAAGTCATGGTAGGCTTTGGAAAAAAGTTGTTTTTGACGTAATAGTATAAACGTCAAATTCTTATTAGATCCACATTTTGATAGTCTTAGCAGCGTTTTTGATCTTTTGATTGCTTTTTCAAAATGCCAACAACTTCAACTACTTCAAATAATAAAGGCATTTTGAAAAAGCATTTAAAAGATAAAAAAGCGCTGCTAAGACTATCAAAATATTAACATACTATCGTATTTAATTTTTTGAAAAAACGCGCTATGTTTGTTAAATTGTAAAAAAGCGCCCCCTAGCGTCTACGTTCAAAACCTTATTATTATTTTTATGGCATAATATAGAGTAAGAAACGCTCTTTTAAACGAGCCCTCGTTTGTTGGATTCTGATCATCCAGTCCGGAGTTATTAACATTTAAATAAAGATAGATATAACCTTCCCCCACCACTTTATTTTAGCAGATAGGGGAAAATGGTTCTAACAAAAAAAATCCAAAATTTACTGAAGATTATAAAGCTATTATTTATAGTACCCATTATCTAGGCAAAATTCTGTAAAAAATCTATTTTCTTATTTTCCATAGCAGTTGCGCCACCTAACGGCCGTTTTACAAACTTGAAAATAATTTCCAGCAATTTCTCATAGCCCCTTTAGTTATAAATATTTTTTTCCGCAGGCTTTACGGCTAATACTTTCCCAGATACAGCCGAGAGCTATTCTTAATGGGACACCCAGTACAGTACAATCGAAAACATTTATGGCCAAGCGGGATTGATTAAAGTTATATATCTGTCTTACTCATTTAGTATTGAATGTAAATTGTGAAATACTCGGTGGTTGAGTGGAAAGCAAACCTTATATACAGGGTGTTTCAAAACAAATGCGAAAAACTTCAGGGGGTGATTCCTTGTTCAAAATAAAGGGTAGTTTGCTTCATAAACGTTGGTTTTAACCCAACCATTAGGGAGATATTGCAGTACAAAGATGGCGGAAAAATAATGTTTTTATTTTTTATTGAAAACGAAAAGAGGTAGACTAATAAAATTTTATGGAAGCATTACTGTTATGAAAACACACTTTCTGGTAATTTTTTCACTTTTTTAAAATGAGTGGAAGGGGTTGAAATAAACTACCCCTATCATTCTTGTTAACGAAATTTAAAGAAAAATCTTATCAAATACATGCAAAAAAATTAATTTGGATAGTTTAGTTTGTTTAGAAACTTTTTTATCTCTTGTATTTTTTGATAAAACTCACCGATTTGAAATTAAAAAATAAAATGTAAAGCATTACATGTCAGGACAAAAACATTTTCTGATAAAGAATCTAGTGGGCTGTGTAATTTTTTAGGAAAAAATCTAGTTGGCCGCTGTTACTTTTTAGGATGTTCCTAATATTATTTTATTTGACATTACTCTACTGCAATACGTTATTATCTAGATGATTATTATTATCGTTATTATCACTAGATTCTTAATCTAAAAATGTTTTTTGTCCTGACATGTAATGCTTTACATTTCATTTATTAATTTCAATCGGTGAGTTTTATCAAAAACACAAGAGGTAAAATTTTTTAAACAAACTCTAGTATCCGCTGTTACTTTTTGGATGTGTTTAATATTATTTTATTTGACATTACTCTACTAACAATACGTTAATCTAGATGATTATTACTATCGTTATTATCATAGATTCTTAATCTAAAAATGTTTTATTTCCTGACATGTAATTACTTTACTTTAAATGACAATAACTTATTTAATCAAAAAAATGGAGGCCCTGTATATTTTAAACTAGAATCAGATGCAGAATTAAGATTTTTCTTTAAATTTCGTTAACAAGAATGATAGGGGTAGTTTATTTCAATCCCTTCCACTCATTTTAAAAAGTAAAAAATTACCTGTAAGTGTGTTTTCATAACAGTAATGCTTCCATAAAATTTCATTAGTCTATCTCTTTTCGTTTTCAAGATAAAAAAATAAAAACATTATTTTTCCGCCATCTTTGTACCGCGATATCTCCCTAATGGTTGACTTTTGACCCAACGTTTATAAAGCAAACTACCCTTTATTTTGAACAAGGAATCACCCTCTAAAGTTTTTCGCATCTATTTTGAAACACCCTGTATATTTTAATAATGCTTAAAATAGCCAGTATAAACTCTACAATGAAACTGCGTCTTAATATATAAATAATATTTTATATATCGCAGAACTAGGATAAAATCAACATTTTTTTAATTCTTTGTACCTACAAACATGATGTAATAATATGTATAATATATTACATTCTCCCCTACTAATTAATGTTACATCTGAACAATTTTTAAGAACAATCTTTAACAATTTAAAATGTTATAAATAAAAAAATTCTTTAACACTTTCAAAAAGTAAACATTAATTAACAATTTAATTTGCATCTTACACAAAAAATATATTATAAACATTAATCAAATAATTATTATGTGATAATAATAAACAATAATTTCTTACACTATAAATTAACATACTAAGAAATTAAGGATTGTAAAACTAATCTATCTGGAGGTTTTGTACATCTTTTAGGCCTCCCTGTAGATGTAGAAGGTACATCAAAAGGTATATTAACATTGGGTAAATCACTATTTTCAGAATTATTACTAATCTCTCCCTCCTGATTTTTTTCTATTTGAATTGCATCATTATTATCGCTATTTTGTATAGAAACTTCAGAATCAACAATACCCCTTTGAATTTTTGTTTTTCTTATTTGATTTGATTTTTTTTTGATTTGTATGTCGTTTCCATTTTTTATTGATCTCAGGAATGTAAACTATGTATGTACATTTACCGATTATTTTTAGAATAGTACCTGGTATCCAAGAAACCTTATTTACTTGCCTATAATCTTTTACTAAAACTTCGTCGCCAAGCTGAAATTAATTTTTTAAAATACCTCCAAAATTCTTTATTTGAATTTTTTGCTTGTTAAGAACTCGATTTTGAACGTTTTCATTTGAACTGTTGTTCAGATCAGGGTTTAATACCGAAAATCTTGTTCTTAAATCGCGACCAAACATGAGCATTGCAGGAGAAATACCTGTTGTAGAATGCGGAGCATTTCTAAAATCAAATAAAAAATTCTGTAATGCTATATTTATGTCTATTTTATTAGGTTTATTCAGAGAATTTTTTAAACAATTTTTTATAGTTTTAACTGCATTTTCCGCAGCTTCGACTGAGGAAAAAATGGTGCTATTGTAATATGTTCAATATTATATTTTTCTAAAAATATTTTAAATTCAGAACTTGTAAAATTTCTGGCATTATCGGACACAATACACTTTGGTAACCCAAATCTTGCAAATGTACTATGTAATGCTGATATAGTGAAATATGATGTAATATTATGTATATATTACATAAATATTTTCTATTATAGATGGAGGAATTACGGGACGCCGCTGTTATGGCGTATTCCAAACTAATACTTAACGGATTTTATGTGACACCTACTGTTATGACGAGATTAATTTTGAAATGGTACAATCCAGCAACAGGCAAGTATTATTAGTTAATTTAATTTTTTCGAATGTGGTAGACAATGATTCAGTATTGAAAATAAAAGGATTTCGGACTATTGCGCCATTGTCTTTATTTATTTTAGTTCGGAGTACCCTGTATATAAAGGTTGCCATATCGTAGGTATTTCGGTACTAGGGTTCCTAGAAATGTTGTTATTGTTTGCAATAAAAACAAAAGAGGGTTGTCCACAGGGAGCCTCATTGGAAAAAGCGTAAGTTTAAAGAGGCCGTTTTTTTACAAACAATAACATTTTTAGCAACCCTAGTACTGAAATATCTACGATGGCGGCCCGAGTCCGAAACATGCCGATACAAGAGACCTCAAGATGCCAGATACGAGAGCGCCAACGAGAGTATACTCTCGTGTACAAACTTTGGATTGGCTGTGTTGTTTATTTCGTGCAAACTTGTGCTAAACATTTATAGGGTGTTTCAAGGATATATCATATTTCTATACCTAAGCCTTCCGGTTTATTAAGTAGAGCTCTTTAAAAATTAATAATTCTATTATAGTCTCATTTCAAAAATTTCATTACCATGACAATTTTAGAAATTTAACAAGTAAAGTCTAATTGATACTTATAAAGTTTGAATATTTGTCATGGTAACGGTGTTGTTTAAAACAAAACAACTACATATAGTCTAAGAGCTAGCGACGTTTTCGAGAAAGTATTTTAAGACGTCTGGCTCTTTGATATATCTTTTACTATGCTCTCTGGAACAGCATGCGGCCCGTCTGGCTGCCGATACCCGTTGCGTTCACTACTGCTCATTGGAAGAAGATCCTATATTTTTTATTAATTTAGTCCTATAAATTCTAGTATTGAATATAAATCGAACATGTCTCCATAGCGCAGTGCGTAGAGTTGCCGACCACGAACCGATGATTCAGAGTTCGAATCCGGGTCAGGGCAAAGACTTTTTTATTTTATTTTCGTTTATATTCTGATAGTAAAGTATTAAATAATTCTGGTGATTCAAAAAAAAACAAACAAATATTATCGGTTCGTGGTCGGAAACTCTACGCACTGCGCTATTGAGACATGTTCGATTTATATTCAATATTAGAATTTAAAGGACTAATAAAAATATAGGATATTCTTTCAATGCGCAGTAGGAAACGCAACGTTTACCGGCAGCCGGACGGGTCGCATGCTGTTCTAGAGAGTATAGTAAAAGATGTATCAAAGAGCCAGACTTAAAATACTTGTTTTCCGACGTTGCTAGCTCTCGTACTAATACAGAATTATTATCTTTTAAATGGCTCTACTGAAGAAACCAGAAGGTTTAGTTTTATGAACATGATATATCGTTGAAAATCAGTTTTATTTATATTTATATTTTTTAAATAATATACATAGGCTTGAATTTACAATAACAATGATTTGGGCGATTTTAAACAAACGGCGGTTTACTATGTGAACTTATGTGAAATATACCTGGACCGGTTATCTAGTTGTCTCTGGCTCGGCTTTAATTCTAATACATTGCAGGTATATGGAATAATACACAAGTAGATCGAAAAGTATTTTGATTAAGCAAGCTTGTTTGATGAATGATGGAATCTACTTGGTCAAAAACACTTTTAATACTTAGATCTTATAAACTTCGTGGATGCCATATGTATATTATACATGATTTTGTTTACGGGACTTTCACATGCATTTTTCCATTTATTTCTTTCTAGAACAAGATTATCGTATAAACCTATCCTTCTCTATGAATACGCTACTGAGCATGCGCAGAACGATATTAGACGTGAATGCTAACTTGGAGCGTTTTTTCGCTGCGTTAACAACAATTACTAAAAATATAGACCATTAAAATTTTTTAATCAAGATATAACTAATACGTGTATTTATTATTTTGAAAATATTTGTCATATTATTTCAATATACTTCTTATATAAATTTTAAACAAAAATTAAATCATATAACTTCTTTTTTAAAAATGCTTTAAAATACTACTTTGAAAAATAGCTATGATGAATGGGCTACACAAAAGTTTATAAGATCTAAGTTTGTACCGTGCTTAAAACAAATAAATAAAACATTGTCTTAGCTCCACATACTACTGACTCTGCTTTTCTGCTTTATTTACTATAGAGATGATATCGTACTTTTTCGTTTTTTGTTTCTAAAGTAGGCAACTCACTAGCGAACATGTTGAGCAACATGTTCTCGAACGGAGTTGTCGTCAACACGTTCCTAGTGAATGTGTTGGTTGGTCAACATGTTAAGCATCTTGCTCTAATATGTTCCTTTGTGAATGGCCTATTTAAGAAGCATAATAAACAATTATTGTTTATTGATTACATACAAGGATGAATATCGTTTAAATATTGCCACAATAAATATAAAATTGTTTTGCTTTTTAAGGAGTATCGAAAGCTGCACCTGAAGGGGATAGAAAGACAATTAACATAAAATCTGGTACTTACCTCAAGTTAATTTTGTGTAGTTCTGCTTATTTTTTTGTGTTTTTTTTTGTAAAATATAGTCTTGGAATTAATAACTGAAAAATCTGGAAAAAGTGATTAATAATAATTATATTATAATTTGTTGAAATGTTTGTAAATACTTTTGTTATATGTTTTAAATAGATATTTTTTACGTATAACAGGGAGAGATATAACTCTTGAGATGCTTTTTTATTGTTTCAGTAAGATGTATAAGTTTCTGTATAAGTAAAAATATATTGAGATAACCTAAATATATTTCACGTAATAAAAGTTTTTATCTAATGCTCTTTTTTGTGACATATACAGGGTTGTTCACCACATACGACACGGAGTATTTTAGCTAAACGATTAGATTTTTACCAATTGTAAATTTTGAGTTCATTGAAGGACTATCAGAGCTACAGTTTAAAAATATTTTTACAAGATATAGAGTGTCCAAATAAGTAAAAAATATTATATGTAGTTGTATTTTTTTAAATAAAGGTAAATTTGATTAAGGTTTATTACACTTAAACCTTGCCGTTTTTGAAATATTTGCAAACTTATGAAATTGTAGTAAATGTTAACGCTTCATTTCTCCAAAGCTATCAAAGTTTTTAATACTAAATATTTACCGAAGTTTATTTATTGATCAGATATTGTATTGCAATAATAAACAATATACAGAGTGTCTAAAAATTTATATTTAATAATTACTAGCTTTAAATGACAATAACTTATTTAATCTAAATGGAACGCCCTGTATATTTTACGAGAATCAGATGCAGAATTAAGATTTTTCTTAAAATTTCGTTAACAAGAATGATAGGGGTAGTTTATTTCAACCCCTTCCACTCATTTTAAAAAAGTGAAAAAATTACCAGAAAGTGTGTTTTCATAACAGTAATGCTTCCATAAAATTTCAATAGTCTATCTTTTTTCGTTTTCAAGATAAAAAATAAAAACATTATTTTTCCGCCATCTTTGTACCGCGATATCTCCCTAATGGTTGACTTTTGACCCAACGTTTATAAAGCAAACTACCCTTTATTTTGAACAAGGAATCACCCCCTAAAGTTTTTCGCATTTGTTTTGAAACACCCTGTATAAGATAGTATAATTTTTATTATTGCAACACAATATCTGATCAATAAATAATCTTCAGTAAATATTTAGTCTTAAAAACTTTGATGCCTTTGGAGAAATAAAGTATTAAATTTTTACTGCAATTTCACAAAATTGAAAATATTTCAAAAACGGTAAGGTTTAAGTGTGATAAACATTAATCAAAATTACCTTTATTTCAATCTTAGAATCTAAAAAAAGGATAATATACAGGGTGTTCCATTTAAAAAAATACAACTATAATATTTTTTACTTATTTGGGACACTTTGTATCTGGTAAAATTATTTTTAAATTGTAGCTCTAATAGTCCTTCAACGAACCCAAAACTTACAATTTGTAAAAATCTAATCGTTTAGCTACAATACTCCGTGTCGTATGTGGTGAACAACTCTATATATTCAGATTTTTCAGTAATGAATCCGCCACAAAATTATAGACATTATTATGAGATTTTAATATAAAATTTTTGTTTAGAACGTATACTACAACAAAAATTGGGTACAATTATCAGTGTGTTTGTGGAAAGAATTAAGGAAGCCCGGGGCATTATAGCTAAGTGTATAGTACCAGTTATCACAACCATAGCAAGTGCTCCGAAGTCTAGTCCTCTGGTTGAAGTCGATATTGACAACGTCGTCAGGTTTTTAGCTACCATAACTCAAGATGGATCAGATGTAAGTATATTTGTATTTAACAATTACTACGTTTCCATGGAGTGTTGAAATAGTTTTGAAACAGTTTTGGTATCGAAATCTCGTCTTCGAGTTTTAAGGTCGCTTCACTTTTTTCTAGTGTCTGATCGAGATCGAGATAGCGAAAATAGTATGAAATTATATTTAAAAAAAATTTTCAAAAATTTAATCCACGAAATTTTAATTGAGCTGGTAATTTCTTGTTAAAAAAGGGTTTTTATATCATATGGAACTTTTTTATTTATCGGCTTTGATTTAGTATATTAAAAATGACATAAGAAAATTTAGCCTGTTGCTCTCGGGTATCTGTCAAATTTGACATTTAAAGTAATAAGTGGCTAAAAAATTGGTTTCTTGGCCGAATTTCGAAAAAATTGTATTTGAAAAAGTTTTTTATTTTTTATAACGTCGTAAATTTTATTATGTCATTATTAATCTATTTTAAAGCAAAAACTAACGCCAAAGTTATATTTGACCTATTTGTACCCCAGAAGCAAACTATCTTAAGTCACAAAACAGTTTTGAGAAAAACGAATTACAAGTTCTTTTTTGAGATTATTTCCTAATTACTCCGTTATTTTTAAACCTATACGATTGTAAATTATAATCGTAGGTTTAAAAATAACAGATAATATTACAATTTGTAATATTTGGTATATTACTAACTGATTTTGAACTTAAATGAAATGTAAAATAGTTTTTTAAATAAATTATATCAACATTTTTGAAGTGACTTAAATATAATAAAAACTGTGACACGAGAATTTTATATATTAGATGTATATCATTATTCACTTAAAAATTTCTAAATCCGCTCCTGGCGTGACCCCCACCAAAGGAACCCAGATCGGAAAAACAGGCAGCCTTCGCGCATTATAAAATAGAGCATTTGTTACCTCTTTCTCTTCTAACCTCTTTGGCTATAATATGTTTTTTTTCGAAAAATGACGGAGTTACTTGTTACTAGCCACTTTTAGTAAATACAATACAAAATATAAGGTTACTGGTTTAAAAATTTAAGATGCCAAATTTCGTTGGTGTATTCTTTCTTTTGCTATATCTATTAAAATTGTTTAAAAAGGCATATTCTGTATATTTTATGACTTTTTATTATTTTGTTTGTTAGTCTGTAAATTTGGTCCACAAAGAACTGGTGCCTATAATTCTAAACCATATCAATCTAAATCCTGATGAAGTTGCTGTACCATACCTATCAAGACTGTTGTGCAATTTAAGTATAGACTCTGCAGATATGGTTGTAGTAAGAGAATTAATAGACCAAGCTGACCTGTTACATAAAAAGGTAACCCAAAATTCACAAATACTCTAAAATTTTCTTATTCTATTCATTTTTTACAGGAGGATTTGGACAAGACTTCAAAAAATAACATTTATAAATTCATTAACAAACTTAGAGGCATCACCACCACAAACACAACTTTAGCAACTGTATCGGAAGAAACTTCTATAGATTCTAATGTACTTCATAATATAACGTATGCAGAAAGTCAACCTAGAGGCATTACCACCACAAACACAACTTTAGCAACCATATCGGAAGAAACCCCCACGGAATTTAATGAACTTAATGATATAACTTGTGCAGAAAAACAACCTAGTTTTAGAAATGAGATGGTAATTCCACTGGTCGATTGTATAATATATGATTCAAATATCATTTCAAATGATTTACCCACAGTTAGTAAATCTACAGAACTAAGTTCCAACAAACGAAAGTCAAAAAGTACGAGAGAACTTGAAACGAGACATGATAGTAGTAGTTCAAGTTCCCCCGTTCTAAGAGAGCCCACAAATCAGGGAGTTGATTCAGAAAAGTCACCTACAATCACCAGCAAGAGTTCAAATAAATCACCCACAGTTAGTAAATCTACAGAACTAAGTTCCAACAAAGGAAAACAAAGAAAAAATACGAGAGCACTTGAAACGAGAAATGATAGTAGTATTTCAAGTTCCCCTGATCTAAGAGAGCCCACAAATCAGGGAATTGATTCACCTACAATCACTAACAAAAGTTCAAATGAATCATCCACAGTTAATAAAACTACAAAACTAACTACCAGCAAAAGACGGCGAGAGATTACCAAAAAGGGCGATTTAATAAGTGACAGTACTAGTTCAAGTTCTCAGGAGGAGGGTAAGGCCAAAAATCAACATGTCGATCTTAGTTCAAATAAGTTACCTACAACCAACCACAGTAAGTCAAGTGAATCATCCACAGTTACTAAACCTACAGAAGTAACTAGTAACAAAAGAAGGCGAAAGATAAATAAAGCGGTTGATATGATATACTACAGTAGTAGTTCACGTTCTCAGGAGATGGGCAAGGCCAAAAATCAAGAGGTGGATCTTAGTTCAAATGAGTTACCTACAACCAACCACAGTAATTCAAGTGAATCATCCACAGTTACTAAACCTACACAAGTAACTACTAACAAAAGAAGGCGAAAGATTAATAAAGCGTTTGATATGATATATGACAGCAGTAGCTCAAGTTCTCCAGTCCTAAGAAAAGCCAAAAATAAGAGAGTTGATTCTAGTTCAGATGAATCATACCCAATCACACGCAATAGTTCAAAGGAATCATTAACTACTATAAAGCTAACTACTAACAAAAGAAATCCAAATTTTTCTAAAGCGGTTGATATGATAAATAAAAGTAGTAGTTCAATTTTCCCAGTGCCAAGAAAGGCGAAAAATCAACGAGTTACAAATGGGGGAGTTTTTAGAACTAATCGTGCTCAGAATGGTAATGAATCCTCGTCAGAAAATTCAAATATTTTGCTAAGTAAACAGAATGGGTTGCAGAGAAAGAAAAAAATAGATCTGAGGACAAAGAAAGCTGTAACAGGTAAAAATAACTTTATACTTACTAATAAAGGTTTATTTTAGTAATCTTGAGAAATTTAAAAGCCACAGGTGTAAAAATAAAGTTTAGATTAGAACATTATTTACTACAGAGTAATGTCTATACTTTCGAGGCGTGTTAATTTCTTGCAAGGAATTCTGGGTATTTGGCCAAATAAAAAAATATTTGAAGACTATTCAAGAAAACTTTAGTTTTTTAGCAGATACGTCTATTTGCGTCTGCGTCTATAATAAAGTGTTGGCAATAATAAATGAAACAAGTTTAGATTGGAAAGTGTTCATAAGGACAATCAGAGAGGACAATGTAAATAATATTTGGCGCTATTTTTGCAACGGTCGCGACCCAAAGCTTTTGATAATTTCGGAGCGGTTCGGCTCTTTCCGGAATTATGTCGCCAAATATTATTTATTCAAATTTATTATTATTTTCTTCTCATTTTATAAATAAAATACAGTGTGTTGCATACAAGAAACTTTATTTTATATAAGGACATGTATGAAATAATTATAAAATATTGGAAACCGACGTTATACCACGATCCACGATGGTTTTTGCAGTTTACAGCACAGTTTTTTAAGTTTTTAATGCCACCTTTTCACAATTATTACGGTTTTGAGTAAATAAAATTTAAATTAAACTCACAAGACAGCAATAATTACTTTGAAAATGGACGCTTTAAACACTTTTCGGTATTTTTTCTCTGAGGGCGGTTTACATTTTCGAAGATTTTATAATTTTTGAAGATTCTGACTTTGACAAGAGAAAATTATTTCTGTTTTTGTTTGCGATTGTTCTTAGCAACCGCTATTATATATTTTGACGGGCTTTCCAATCTAAATTTATTTCCTTTATCTATGAGTGTTGGCGTTCTGTTAAACTGACATTATATGAAGTCATACTTTAAACCAAAGCTTCAAACTAAGTTACTACCTGATAACAATTAATGAGATAAAACCAAAAAGCTTTAAATTTTCGGTATATGATCATTTTTAGTTTGTTTTTAATTTTTACTTATGTTTATTAAAATACCGTGCTGGCAACTGTTATTCTTGGGTCGGTATTTACATGTGTGGAAGTAAATCGCATAGGGATCTTACTAAGTCGGAGTGAGAGAAATGCGACGGAGTGCTGTTGCGGCGTTGCCAGTACGCCTTTCCTTTAGAGGTGGGCTTTCTAGTTCCTGGGGAGGAACTAGTTCCTTAGTTCTAGTTCCTCCAGAGGAATAGTTCCTTGAACTAGGTCTTTAGTTCACAATAGTTCCCGACTAACATTGACATCCCCCTTGCTTGCTAATGCGTTTCGTTGTCAGCCAGAACTATTCACAGTATGATCTGTATAATTTTTATAATGTACGGAGATATAACGAGACGTGTAATTGTGTATGTTAAAAACATTTATAGGGAAATTGGAACAACTTTCGTTGCACGTCATCAATGACACCATGCGTCGTCTTATGGAGTTTGCTGGTGGTCGTATTATGATGTGCAACGAAAGTTATTTTAATTTCCTTAGGGAAATTGGAAGAACTTTCGTTGCACGTCATTAATGACACCATGCGTCGTCTTATGGAATTTGCTGGTGGTCGTATTATGATGTGCAACGAAAGTTATTTTAATTTTCCTTATAGGTAAGTTTTATTGCAGATAAAAAATATAAAAAAGAAACTCAAATCAGAGTTTAAAAAACTATATCACATATCAATTAGAGCAAATATTACAAAAATTTTACGAAAAATTGCATTTTTCCTCACTAAAAATTCAGAATATCTACTTCGTTTTATAAGATATTTCTTAATTTTAGGGACCTAAAGTGAAACATTCCCATAAAATATTTAAAAAACAAACTAAACATTAAAAACAGTATCCACGACAATTTTCTGTGGTAATTACGCCGCGCCGGCTGTGGCAATAGACAAGGCCGAATCCATCGTCGTCGCCTTGTATTATATCTCGGATCTGCCGACTGAATAGATTCCCGTGAACTAGTCTTTTAATAGTTCCTCTATGTCCGGATCCGATAACATACGGCTGATACTCCCCACGCCTGCAGCATCAATCGCGCTGGCTGATCCATACGTAAACTAGTCTTTTATTTAGTTCCTCTAGTTCCTTTAGGTCCGGATCCGATAACATACGGCATATGACTGGCACTCCCCACTCCTGCCTAGCATCGATTGCGCTGGCCCGATTCGTACGTACGTAAACAAGTCCTTTATTTAGTTTAGTTCCTCTAGGTCCGGATCCGATAACGTGCCGCTGGCACTCTCCACTCCTGCCTACAATCGGGCTACGCGCGCTAGCCGATCCGTCGCATATCATTCTATATCGGTCAGTCTCGATCCTGGAATAGGTCCTGAGGAACTAGTTCTTTGAGAAACCAGGAACTAGTTCCTTTCATTCCGGGGTCGGAATAGTTCATTGGAACTAGTTCGTTCTCGAACTACACACCTCTACTTTCCTTATCAAGTAAAGTAAAATCACGATCGCATGCCGCTTATTCTCAAAAGACTTTTTTTCGAAAAGATAACTAGATAAAATCATTAGAAATGTTTTTGAGCATCTGAAATGGAATTATAAGGATATCTTTAAGGTATCATTTTTTTTATAACGAGGAAACGTCAGTAATCGCAATAATTTAAAAACTCAACTTTTTAACACATAACACGCCATAACACAAGAAACACTTTAGATAATGAAACTTTTTTTTTATTTTGAAGAGAGGATCTTTTACAATATGTTTACATAAGAAAAAATCGATAACGTTGTTTTTTTCCATTCAAAAATTGCAAACAACCCATCTATTTACTTTTATAGCATAGCAATTTTCAGCAGTCGTGTAATTTTTTATTGATAAAGATTTTAACTTACTGTCTACGAAGAAAATTTAGCAGAAATATTAATAAAGGTTTTGAAAAAACTACAATCAATTATTTCTAATAGATTTCGAGATATCGATTTTTCAATTCAGTGTTCTAATAGCCCGACCACTGTCGAAAACCAACTCAATTCCACTTGTTTTTACCAAAAATGCAAGTGTTTCTAGCTTGCACTTTTAAAGCTATAGGGAAAATTACAACGACTCGTTAATAAATAAACCAATAAAGTATCACGAGACGTAATTAAATCGTGAGGCTGAACGCATGATATACACCTTTCCCTAGAACTTAAAGTTTTTTTTTGGAGGTGTGGACTTTAAGTACTGACAGAGGTACTGATTGGGTCGACCGGTCAACTGCGACAAATCTGCTATATCCCCTTCCACGTCTCTTAGCAATGTGCACAGTTTCTCGATTCATTTCATACGTTTGGCAACGTGTTTACTGTTCTTTCTTTGTTCAGTACATTATAAACGCATTGTACTCTTCTTACATACGGAAATCTCGACCCAAGACTAACCTATGCCAGCCCTTAGTATATCGCTTTAGTGATGGGTTGTTATTTAACTATCTGTTATTTTATAACAATTATTTAGAAATAACATAACGCAACCGTTACTGCTTTTAAAAAATAACAGATATAAAATAACGACAGGCAGAGATCGAGTGTTCGTGAAACGAAGTCGGCGCTCTGCACCGCCACGAAATTCGATGCTGCTCGAAGCAATTCCAAAAAACAACTAGTATGGATGGAAAACCTATTATTTCGACAACCATCGATACAGGCGGCGAGATACAACGGACAACGGAGTGGGGTATGCGCTACGGCGCGGCGCGTCGTGTTGGGCTGACAACAGCAAAAAATAATAGGATATAAAAGAAGCAGCTTTTTTGAAACAGTTGCGGGCATAACGCCTGGCTGTCGAGATAACAGGAGTGGGAAAGGAGCGCTGCTGCATCGGTCGATTGTCGATGGAGGCTCGCAACGGGTTGGAGAATAACGCATCAGTTGTTTTAGCTATGTTGTTTTTTTACCTGTTACGAGCATAACAGAACGGCGTTCGAGATAATCGGAGGTTTGAAACAGGTTGGAGAATAACGCATCAGTTGTTTTAGATACATATTGTTTTTCAACCTGTTACGAGCATAACGGGCGGAGGTCGAGATATTATGGCGCTGTATGTTTCAATACTTTGTTATTAAGTTTCAATATTTAAGTATTTATTTATTCTGAAAAATTTTCAGAATAATATTTTAAGATTTTTTAAAAATGTATACAGGGTGTTTTGAAAAATCTGGTCATTGATTAATCACGATCCTGCTTAAAGCCCTTGACGTAAAAAGCTGATTTTTGGAAAACGGATTGACTTTAGGGTGTAGAGGTGCGATAAGAAGGGATTTTTCGAAACTCAAATTCTAAGGGGGTGAAACCACCCTCAAATATTAGAATATTTTTTATTTAAAAACTGGTGAGTTTTTCGAAAAAACTCTTAAACACGTATATTTTATTTTGTTGTTTTACATATTTTGAGATTTTTACAAAATATATACAGGGTGTTTCATAAAATATGACCACTGAGTAATCACTATTCTGCTTAAACTGCTTGACGTTTAAAGCTGATTTTTGGTAAACGGATTGACTGTGGGGTGTAGAGGTGCGATAAGGAGGGGTTTCTCGAATCTCAAATTCCAAGAGGGTGAAAACGCCCCTCAAATATTACAATATTTATTATTTAAAAAACGGTTAGTCTTTCGGGAAAACGATTGGACACGCATAATTTATTTTGTTTTTTTACATATTTTGAAATTTTTTAAAAAATAATACAGGGTGTTCCAAAAAGTTGAGTAATTGATTAACCACGATTCTGCTTAAACTGCTCGACGTTTAAAGCATATTTTTGGCAAATGTGAGAAAATTTTATCCAGTTTGTATGTTAATGGAAATTCTTGCTTTGCTTTATCATCACCATTACAAATTAATAATTCGATGCGAACGAAGTCGCGGGTACAACTTAACAAGTATAGCTAGAGACGTGAGAAATATAAAATAAGAGACGCCCCCCGATGCGCAGTGGACATCCCACAAATTTGCTTCAATCAGATTTTTCGTAGCGTAACTGCATCTCTCTTCCGCCGAATGCGTTCTCTCTCTATCGTGTGCGCGACCGGTGCTATCCCCAAGTCTCTTCCTATATTTGTCAAACTGTACATGCTAGTTTAAGTGTAAAATTAATTCGAACTCTAGTGTGTAGTTGGTTTACTTATGAAGAATATACTACACATTTTCTTATATTGCTATTTTTTGACCGCAAATGGTAAAATCATAACGAAGAGCTTCTCGCCCGTCGAGTGAGATGCACCCTGTACACTGCTACGCAATTCAGAATCTACGCGGATCGAGGGGTAGGGCGTAGGTAGATCGGAATTTATAGATATAGACGAGTGGCGGCATTTTGGCTTTTTTATATCGCAATTTGTAAACAGCGCTTATTTGTAAACAACCCCCGTTTTTAGAGAGGTATTTTAGATAACAGTCGATATTTAGAAATGTTATGACACCCTGGAATAAATACGTTTAAAATAAAGTATACGGAGGGTACCGCTTAAATTCCTGTCCCGATATTGAAGGATGGCTATAGAATTTCAATGCATTTCCTACATAAGTCTATCCTTGGTTTGTAGGAGGTTTCACTAAACAAGGATGAACCTATGTCTTGAACATTCGACTCGATTTTCTGTCCTCCTTCAATACTGGGACGTAAATCCTCTCATTGCTCTTATGGGGAGGCCGTCGTATATTTTATTTAAACGTATTTGCCCTGGAAATACTACCACCGAGCACGTCATTGTTGCAACTGCGTTAATACGCCTGGCGGTGACCGCCTCATATTCTTTCAGATATTTAGCAATAAAATAAAGAAACCTGTTATTTTTAAGCTGTTATTTTAAGCTGTTTTTTATAAATAACTATAACAGTTTCAACTGTTATCTAAAAATAACAGTTTTGCCCATCACTATATCGCTTCTTTGATTTTAATAAACATAACATAAGTAAAACTTAAAAACAAACTAAAAACATTCACACAGAAAGCTTTTTGGTTTTACCTCATTAAGTAATTGTTAATTTGAAGTGTGACATTATATAATGCCATTTTAACAGAACGTCAACGGTTTATAATAGACATACATATCTGTTAAAAAAACTAAAGCGTTTATGAATAGTTGGTATTTAGATTTTAAATATTTTTTTTATTTGTTCTTTGATTTTTTTTTCTTTTTTTTTTCTTCCCTGAAATGTTAAGCATTTTTTGTCATTTCTTTTTCTAGTAGTCTATACCCAGAATTCTTTTCAAATTTAAAAAAAAATATATTACCCCATGTTCTTTCTCCTGAAATTTCATGACAGTATCTAAGCTTTGCAATATTTCCAGTTCTTGTATTACCCACATTCTGCATATTTTTATGTTTGTAAGTTTACAGCAATTTTAATTGGTCTTACGGATTTTTTCTGTGAGAATTTTGACCATAAACGTACAGTTGCCAAAATTCTTGAACCACTATTACCATTATTATTGTTTCTATATAATTTTTATATGTATATTTTTTGTCAGTTAACAGTACTAAGTTTGAGAAAACACCACAAGTAAAGAGGAAAAAAAATAGAGAAAGAACGGTAGTAGAAGATGTAGATGTAGAAAGCTTCTCGGATTCGTCAGATCAAACTCTACACACCATTATAGAAGCGTCAGAACCTGAGGTAAGTTCAAAATTTGTTCAATTGATCAAAAACTGATAACAAATAAATTTGATAACAATTATTGTTCAAAATCCTTTAAACTTTTTTTTATCACCAAATTCATTAAAACTGATTATTGATGATGCCGCAAGATGTACACTTAACAATATATTAACTGCTCTTTTGTCTTCTTTAATAGTTTCTTTAACTGATTTTAATCTATATATACCGGGTGCGTCTAAAGAGTGGCTCAACCTAATAACTTTTTTATTTTTTTCGGAGAAAAATACGAGATTTGGTATGTTAGTATATGACATAAATTAGGATTTATTGACGTGTTCAATTGTTTTTGGTCACGTTCTGTTTCACCGGAAATGACTGTAACTTTTGATTTTTAAATGGCACCTCGTCGGTATATTTCTACTTTATTTGATAGAAAATGACACATATGTCAACTTTTGACATTTTCGCATATGGCTTAATTGAAATTGTAACATGCGGTTCATAACGAAAATTTGACTCGAAATACCAAGTGTGTGGTACCAAATTATTCGTAAAAAAATGTTTTTTTCCAAATATGCTAATGAGCCTCACTTGTTCCATTTGAAAAAATTGAGATATGATTAAAAATACGATTTGGACATCTTTTAACCGACCAGCACAAAACACGAAAAACATTAGGCGACCAAATATATTTTTTCAAGGCTCCTTGATTAAAAATTAGTGTTTTTAACACAGTCATGGTACTGTAGATTGAAATTTAAAATACGATTTTTTTTAAACAAAAATGTCAAAAGTTAACATATGATATGTCATTCTATTCAGAGTGTCATTTTCTATCGAATAAAGTAGAAATATACCGAGGGTGCCATTTAAAAATCAAAAGTTGTAGTCGTTTTCGGTGAAAGAGGAAGAGACCAAAAACAATTGAATACGTCAATCAATCCTAATTTATGTCATACTAACATACCAAATCTCGTTTTTTTTATCTGAAAAAATAAAAAAAATATAGGTGTGGGCCACTTTCGAGACGCACCCGGTATATCAGTTGTACTAACTAGAATTTTGTTTTTAACAAGTTAGTGATTAAAAGCAGTTAAAATAACTTATTCATCATCTGTTATTTATAAAGCAATATACAGGGTGGTCCGAATTATACAGGGTGGCGCACCTCATTCGCCTCGGTTAATTATACAAAAACGGAAAGATGTAGAAACAAAATATTTTACGGGTATATGTGGGAAGACAATGTGCATTATTTAAAATTATTTTGATATGTACAGGGTGTATGTCAGAACTAAGATCCATCCAAAGTTATATTTTTTCTTATGGAACACCCGGAATTATTTATTTTATTTTTGATTTCTAGAGTATAAAATAAAGCATTTATTATAAGGGTTTAATATGTCTACAAGCTTTGGTTTTTGAGATATTTAAAGATATTTAAATATACATGCTATAATAAAAAAATTGTCAACACCCTGTACATTACCTTTCAGAATTAATTGATGTGTAAAGACAAAGAAAATAAATTTTACTAAAAAATTTTGTTGCTTCCTTAAATATATACCGAGGTATCAAAAATTGCTGGTCTATTTTAAATATTCATTTTGCATAAAAACTTTGTTATTTCAAATGCAACACTATGTATTTTTTAAAATAAGTCGAAGCAGATTTAAATGCTCTTTCAAACTATATTAGGGTTTCCAATACCTATCTGGCTCAGATTTTGAATAAAAAGCGACTTTTCAATGAAATCGCTGGTGTCGCCATGGCAATTTTCTAGTGACAGTAGCTGTGACAGTAGTAATTTAGTTTGAAAATCGACATTAGTTTATGGACTTTATATAAATTTATAATAGTTTACTTTTATTTAATTTACCTACAATAGTTTAATAAGTATTTATTATGTTATCAAGAAAAAATGAAGAAGTAGTTCCTTGATTTATATTACGATGACTTGTAGAATACAGGGTGGCCCATCGAAAACGTTCCGCAAGGCATAACGGCCAGGGTATTTTTTTTTCAAAAAATCCAAAAACACGTCAATTTTGTTTGTGAGGGGGACAACTTTTGCATCAAAAATGATTGCAAAATTTTCAACCCTCTAAGCGGGGGTGTCATCCCCCAAATTTTTTCAAAGGGGAAGGGGGGTTAAGTGGCGTCGCAATGAAAAGGGCTTTCTATTCTCTATATTTCCCCGCTTCGTTTTTAAAAATCGGTCGAGTCATTTTGAAAATATGGATTGAAATTTGAAAAGTACTTTTTGCAAAAAAAAACGCATAAATTGAATTAATTAAAAAAAAACTTACCTTATTAATGAAGCAAATGCTGAAAATGTTGCCCGTCAACCTCCATACAGTAATACAAATTATTTTCAACCCGTTCTAGAACATTCTGAAGAACTTGCGGGGTCACTTCACTATCCAAACATCAATAATTCGTCTTTGCAGGTCTTCTAATGAGGCGGGTGGAGTGCTATACACTTTACTTTTTAAGTGTCTCCATAGAAAAAACTAAAGGAGTCAAGTCGGGTGACCGGGGAGGTCCTCAATTGCACCCCTTCGTCCTATCGACCGACCGGGAAAGGTATTGTTTAAATATAATTACGCACATTTTGAGAGTAATGTGGAGGTGCACCGTCTTGTTGAAATATTAGTTCCGCTTCAACGTATCCAGGATTGTTCTCTATGATGTCACTTAGGGCTGGGTCGATGGTATTTTCCAGTAAATCCAAGTACATATCACCTGTTAGATTTCCAGGAAGAACAAAAGGACCCACAATAGAATTTCTAAAAATAGCAGCCCACACGTTCAATTTCTGAGGGTTTTGTGTGTGCATCTCGTGAAAAACCTTGGGGTTGTCCTCAGGGGCCCTATTCTGTATGTTTTTCGGTTTCGGATCCGAAAATTCGATTCGGTTCGCTACCGAACGATAGAGCTGCCGAATGTTACGTTCAGTAGCGCGCATCGTGATTCTGTATCGCTTTTCGGTAACCGTTCGGTTGGGTTTCGAAGCAACCGAAAAACAATCATGATTAGAGCATGACAGTAGGGCGTGATAGTGACAGTGACGCTTTCAAATTTTGTATATGTTCAAATTTACCTTTTTATAACGCTTCTGTTCAACTTTTTCTAAAGGTTTGAGGATAAGTGATGATGACAGATTTACAGGTAAATAAGATCTTTTTTCCAGAAGGAGTAAGTAATATTAAATATTCTTTTAGGCACCGAAGGGAACCCGTGTGACTGTGCAGTAGAGAGAAGTTTCGCTTCGCTTTATATAAGTACATGAAAATTTTGCAGAAAAAAAGGAGAATACTCGCTGTTGAATCTTCTTTGGCAATATAGAAATAGAAAAGCCAAGCAGTTGCGAATGCAGCAACTGCCATTGCAAATACAATGAAGATGTAAATCTGATAAACAAATATACTTTTAAAATATACATAGTGTACAGAAACGTAAAATATACTTTTTTATGATGATAAGGATTTTGTGGCTTCATTCTCTGCGTATATGATTAATAGTTCATTTTTTCTTTAGTAACAGTTATATTAAAACTTGTGTTAAAACTTAATTGTATTCATTCTAAATTAAAAAAGCCCCTAATAAATAATCACAATATAAATGTAATAAAATACAACATGTTAATAAAACGAAAGTATATGTTTGGTACTCTTTTTAGCCCGTTAACCAACATCTGCGCACTGATTATATCCATATTCCTGACAAATATTACAAATTTTCACTTTATTCAACACTTTACAGCTATCATTACTACTATTTAAATGATAATTTCGAGTGTATCGTAAATAAAACCTTTGCAATAACACCATAGAATAACACGCAATTTCTAGCCCTTTTTCGAAACTGTCAAAGCCCTGACAGAAAAATGAATTGTTGAATAGAATAATTAATTATTATTAGTTACCAAGACAATTAGAGCTTTCGGTAAGAGAACCGAGGATTCGGTAGGGTTTCCGTTCGGTTCGGAGCTACGGACTAGCTTTATGTGCTACCGAATCGAATATGTCGTCACAACCGAACAAATTCTACCGAATCGATCGGTAAAATACTTACAGAATAAGGCCCATAGACAAACAAATAAAAAGAGACTAGCAAATTAAATGGCAAAGAGAGGGACAACGTTCCCGTCATGTTCCCGTAGCACAACTCAGAACGCAAAATTTCGTTCTATTTATGTTGATCTGCGCAATGCGTCTATTGCGCCCACTATCTCATTCTAACATAACAAGAGAGAAAGAAGCAGCCATATAAAACGTAATTTCTAAATAGAAATTAGAACAATCGCCTTTCGTTTTCGTCATCATGACAACCAAGATGACTGTGCAAGATGACAACATCATGACAATTTGTCGTGTTAATTTTTCTTTTGGTGATTTACCTTTTTTTCTAAACTCTCCATTTTATTGACTTATGAATATGGATAGGGAACAAATTCCTTTGTTCCATATAGGTATTTATATTTTGTTACTTATAATTTTAGGTTATACTATTTGTTATTTTATTTGCTGCAGGAGCCAGTATCATCTATTTTCTATATGTATTGGTGCCCCCTTTCTCTGATAGATATGTTAAAGTCACCCGACAAAATAAAAGTAAGTAGTTATATTCATCATCTTACTAATAAAAAAGTAGAAGTAGTAGTGTCAAAAATATTTCGAACCTCTCTTAACATAACAAATTAATACAATTAATTTTTTTCATTTTTTGGGTAGGTAGTTTATAGCTGGTTTATAGTAACCAGAAACTTTATTAATATACCTATTTTAGTTTTTATTAAATTTAATTTATTTATTTTGTTTAGGATTAAAACTGGACTTGAAAATGGTTCAGGATCATGATTCTCGTAAAGTCTTCTTTGCTTGGATATTCACTTTGTTATTGCAATTAGGCAGTTTTTTTTCGAAAATGAGATTTTTTTAAAAAATTGGCCGATCGTTTCCATGCAACAGTCAGTTCTTCTGCAGTTAAAATTGGTAGGTGGGTGGAATAAACACTGTTGTTATTATATTATAAAAAGTTTATTTATTTTTATGTATAAATAAATATGTTTATAAAACAGTACAATTTTTGCTTTTTTTATAATTTCCCTTATAATAGTAGTATTCTTTCGTTCTAAAAGAAACTGCAAATTTTCACTTAAACTGATTTATTCCCTACATCACGTTCCCTTTACGTGGTATAGGGATTAAATCAGTTTAAGTGAAAATTTTCAGTTTCAGAATGAAAGAATACTACTAATAATGGCTAATTTATATTTTCCGCCAGCCAGAATGTGCGATAATGTCTTACGATACGTTTTATACCTATCTCTTTCTCTTTCATATAAAGCACACATAATAAAGAAAGATAGCCATAAAGACGTACGTCCTGCCATGGTCCTGCTAATTGGTTTCAAAATTGTTATTCTGAGTTGCGCTACGGGAACGCGGTCCCACTCTTTACCATGAGATTTGTCAGTCTCTTTTTATTTGTTTGTCTATGATAAGGCCCCAGCCCAGTACCGACAGTTGTGCCGATTAACTACACCGTTCAAAAAGAAAGTACACTACCTAACCTGATCGTTCAACCTTGTGGAAAGTGAAAAAATGCTTAAACATCTAGAAATATTAAAAAAAGACAGCAAATTGGTCGAAGGAATTTATCCTTATTAGTTACTCTGATAAATGTTTAATAAAGTTTTCAAATTTCAATCCTTCATATTTTCTCAACGACTTGACCGATTTTCAAAAACGAAGCGGGAAAGTATAGAGAATAGAAAGCCCTTTTCATTGCGGTACCACTTGACCCCCCTTCCCATTTGAAAAAAAATTAGGGGATGACACCTCCGCTTAGAGGGTTGAAGATTTTGCAATCATTTTTGGGGCAAAAATTGTCCCCCTCACAAACAAAATTGACGTGTTTTTGAAAAAAAAATTGCCCTGGCCGTTATGCCTTGCGGAACGTTTTCGATGGGCCACCCTGTATAGAATTTTCTATAAAAGAGCCAATTATGGTAAATTCATTTTTTTCACTTTGTGACGATTTTTCTGTCGTTACCCAAATAGAATGAAAAAAAAAGTCCGTTGCTCAGGGTTAGAGGAAAGTTGGGTTCGTAGGTAAAGCTTCTGACTCACAGTGACTTTCTAATGTTGTTAAAAAATAAAAAAAATGATAATATATAGGCTGCAGAGATTTTAATATTGATGTTAAGAATTCAAATAGGTATGGTCAAAGACAGTGAAAAGGGCGCCACTTACTTTGTTTATGAGAGTGGTAAAGTAAGAAACCAAAAAGAAAAATACGATATCACAACATAGCTAAAATAAAGTAATCAACAGCATTAAGGGTCTATTATGTTTATCAGGAATAAAAGTCAGAAATAACTATCCAACATTAAACATTTATTGAAAACGAACACAAGTATCATCAATTAGTCACAGTGATCCCAATAAAACCGCAAGTTATTTTAAATAGATTCGAATTTAGTAACTGTATTCTTTGAACTAAGTAAGCTACTTAATATAAAAACAGATGAAATTTATCTATGTCTCAATACGATGATATTTCGAAACATGTCGTGTACAAAAACCTTTAAAATGAATACGTGTTAATAATTTTCATATAAAATATCATAGCTAAGTAAGAGTGTACTGTACGAATCAAATTATAACTTATAACGTTAAATAAAAATAATTTTGACTACAATATGTGGGATAAATAGTGATAATTTACCAGGTTATTAAATCTGTTGTCTCAAAATTATAAAATAAAAGCGTACCTTGTGTATCAAACTTAAGACTTATCTGTATATAGTTTCTCATGATGTAAACAGGTAGGTAGGTATTCTCCAGACTAACAGAAGTGGATGCAGATGACTATGGCAGGAGAAGTCTTCGATATCAGCCAAAAGAACGATTGTAATGTCAAGAACACTGTCTTAAGGTCTGCATAGGTCCATACAAAATGAAAGTGGGTGAAACATACAATAATTACTGCATTATTACTGCATACCATGTGGTAATTACTACTTGAGTACCATGTGGTAGTTACTCTATAAATAAAAAAATAGTTCTCAGGACAGATACTCAATAAAAAAAAACAACTTACGGTCTGAAAATCAGCTTTACATAAATATATTCAAACCATATGCCGATCCAAACCAGTAATTAAATACTCAAATAAACGAAATAAAAAACGGAAATAACTGAAATAGAATTTAGTTAGATAGGGCTATATAAAATGGCGGATAAACTTACGGTGATCATTCCAAGAAGAAACCAAACAAATGCGATCTATACTCTGGATTGCATACTTTACAAGGTTTTCAAATTTCCAAATCGGATACCCATGCAATGGAAATCGAAAAGTGGATTCAGAGTGCTTTTCACTGAAAAATTTGTCGGACGCCGAAACACGCGTTTTCTTCAGATCCAAATTTTCAGAAAAAAAAGACCCTCTTCTCAGTTTCAGAACCGAAACTCAAAACCTTTTCACCACAGACAAAATGAGAGAGAAAAAAGTGATACCATATGATCGAAATCATTAGAACAGAAAATCGCGCAATCCACAGCGAAGTGAGATTCGGACAAGTGAAATGCAATTAAGGAAGTTTGGTATATAGCGAATAGATGGCGCTAATAAACAAGATAAGTGAACTGTAATAAATGAAGTTTGACATCTAGCGAATAGATGCGCTAATAAAAATTAAATATCGAGACAAGTGAGCTGTAACAAATGGAGTTTGGTATCTTTGGCATCTAGCAAATAGATGGCGCCAATACTAAGAAATTTAAATAAAAATAGATTTTTAAATTCAATTTTATTAAAAGAAATAAAAAATGCTACAACTTCCAACGACAGGTTTCTGCCTAATAGGTTTTTCATATATCACACTATCAGCTCTGCGAAATAGAAAAGGTAGTTTATCAAAGGAACGCTTATCAAGACAATTCCTATTTGGATATCTTTGAGCATAAACCCTTCAGGCCAATATCAATTTTCCTCACAAAATAAAATCACTAGTTACATATCCATTCCTTCTGCCAGCAGATACTGCTTCATTTTTCTTGAGAAAATAATAAATACTTATTTATTGAACTATTGTAGGTAAATTAAATAAAAATAAATTGTTATAAATTTAAATAAAATCCATAAACGAATGTCGATTTTGAAAATAGCTACTGTCACTAGAAAATTGCCATGGCGACACCAGCCATCTTGAAAGCCATCTTGATTGCCATTTTATTAAAAAATCGCTTTTTATTCAAAATCTAAACCAGATAGGTGTAGGAAACCCTAATATAGTTTAAAAGAGAATTTAAATATGCTTCAACTTGTTTTATAAAATACAGTGTTGCATTTGAAATAACGAAGTTTTTATGTAAAATAAATATTTAAAATAGACCAGCAATTTTTGATACCCCTGTATAAGTTTAAGGAAGCAGATTTTATAGACTTGGTAATTTACGAAGATGTTAAACATTTACATAATAACACATTAATTGATTTAAAAAAAAGTTTGTAATTATTATTTTCGTTATTTCCAGATGAGTTTACTTGAAGACTCTCAACAAAGCGTTAGAAGAAGTTCTCGAAGAATAAAAGTTATTACTACCTTATCAGATTCAGAGTAAGTATTGCATTCGATATCTTTGGGAAACTACAATGATTATATTGGAGACTTTTGACACACTTAATATTCACTTGTAGTTTAAATGTATAGGTGCCTCATATTTTTGTTAGATATTCTATAGGCTTGGTGCATTTTCCGTCGGTGCTGCCCCCATCGGAGAATATCGTAAACAACCGGCATATATAAATACACAGGTTTAAATAGCGACTGTACGAAAAATAATTTATTATATAATTATCCTAAAAGTGTTAGGAAGTATAATTTGTGAAAATTCTAAAAATAAAAATAAAAACCTAAATCTTTGCTGAGATAAAAAGTTGATATATTCAGGTTTAATTTGTATTATAATTTATTATTCAAGCTAATAAAACATTTTAGATGAATTCAACTGAGTGTTTTATAGTTTCAATAACTGCACTAATATAAACTAAAATACATACTTAATAATTATGACAAAGGCCACGATTTTAATTTTATTTCAATGCGATCAACATCGGAACTGCGTGAAATAGAGAGCGAAAACTTCTGATTTCTGACGTATCGAGCGCTGCGGTCGGACCATAATCTGTTATGGTTCAAAATTTCACCGTAACTTATTTTACTTATTTTGATTATTTTTAGGAATTAAACTAAAACTTACTTGAATAACTTGAATAATAACGTTTAATTAGCTTACTTCTTAACTGTACATATAATTTCTAATAATATCTTATCTATAAGTCTCATCATCACAACAATTTCTTTGAGATGGAGTTGTTGATATAAAACCTCATTAAAATAATATCAATTTGTCTGTTTAAAACTACCTTTCTTTCTACAGTGGTTACTAATTCTTTATTTTTTAATTTTTTTTATATTACGATTTACAGACTGACGTTTCAATTGTTTGTCAGCTGATCGTGTGACACCGGCGTTGAAGGTTGACAGATGGATCTTTGTAAATTAGGTTTTCGATCTTTTTAATGGTTTTTTTATGATCGGAAAATGTATTAATAATTTTCCGAAGATATTATGTTCGTATAGGGATTATTATAATTTTATTATGATGTAATAAAATGTTTCACTCAATCCGTATGCATTAAATAAAATTTTATGTAAAATTTTATTTTGGGTCTTTTGTTTTACTGGTTGCCTGTGTTAAATTTTATGTTGGTATTTCTGACTTGGAATCGAGCATGTTCTGAGGATTTTGC